AAGAGTGTCCACAATTTAACACTTTAGGCAAGAGATGTCGCTTACGACTCAGTTGCGAGGGGCTCATGTGTTTAACGGCAAATATTGAACATTCAAGAACAATAGAACCATGAGTTACTGTAGCGCAGGCTGTAAATAGGTCAACCAATTGGGGACAGGGGTACAACCTGACGAGAACAATAATTATCATCTAACAGGAATCGACTAAATAGATGTTTACAATGCGCGGTTGGCGACTACAAGGAAGGCTTAGAGATCAAAATTGAATAGAAGGATAAGACATGATATATGAGCACGTCTACACATCTGGATCGTTGTCGCAGTCATTTATGATGTTCTACGGCAGCCATTTTGCCACGTTTTCGCGGAGAAGGAGTAGAAGGCATGATTGCGGCGGTATCGATATCATCTGAAGCTACCAGTCGAGAGGTTCCGGGACGGGGAGCGTTATCGGTCCTGGAATCAGAGGACTCAGTTGGGATGGTGGGCGCGCGAGAAGGACCAATTGCTGGAATTTGTTCAGTCGGGCCAGGATTGGATTGTTGAGTTTCTAACGCGCAGTTGAGTCGGGAGAAATGGACTCTGTGCGGGTATTAGTGCGAATTCTGGGCAAAAATAATAATAGGGGTGAGATTACTAACACATTCCTTCCTGGACGTGAGGGGCTGCTGGTCGCAACATTTCCGTTGCCACTGATCTGGACTCGTGAAGTGTTTGGTGGATTAACCCAACTTAAAGCGAGGACCTTGAAGATGATCGCAATTAGAAAGACGTATGAAATCATGACGGTAACAATCAAAGCAGTCAGAAAAAGCAAACCTCTACTATAGGCACCCCTTTTTCCATGTCCCAATCGCATAGGAAACCAATGAGGAAAAAGTCTCGGTTAGGTTGAAAAAGAACGTGGGTATTTGCCATGTTTCGGCGGCCTGGGATTTTGTATCTAACGTTGAACGCCCGAACGGAACGGGACTAAAACAAAGTCTCAGTGGAATGATACGTATTAAGCAGATACAAGAATTATACCTGTGGGTCCCAATCGTGGTGTCGTAGCGTCACCATCAAATTATTTTCAACAAGTCCATTATTGTCCGTAGTCTCACGGTCAGCTGTTATTGCAGTTCCGATGGCATCGATGGATGTTATTGGTGGTGTCGCCAATGAAGTGTTCAAGCTTACACACTCTGACCATGGTCTCAGGAAAGTAAGTGAATATTGGTGGGGACTCGGAACCAAGCACCATAAGTTTTCCTGTGAGAGAGTAAATGTAACCCGATTCTAGAGCAAATGCTGCTGAGGTGTTGGCGGACAGTATGACTTCATAATTGGTGGGTTCGGCAGGGTTACAAGAAATAAATCCAGGCGCTGTAAAGGTACCGTACTGTTGACCTGCAGGCAGGTTTGCGGATGACTAATTTATAGTGTTAATGAAAGGTTATCTGAATAACGAAAAATATAAGACTTACGCTTTCGGTAACGTATGCTAAATGTTTGGCAGATACAGGATGATTTGGGGGTCGACTATTCTTGTCAGACATGATGGGCGTCGAGTGCGATGTTGATTGTGGGAAAGGGAAGATGGATTGAGGGGTTTATATAATTGTTGGGGAAAGGGATTGTCCGGGCACAGGGACCGATGGACAAGCTTGGAACTTTAGTCAAAAGTATAATGAATGAATCACTGAATTTCTCTGGCAGGGATACCATTGGAACGGGCGAAAAAGAGAGTTTACAGAGCAGAGGTGTAGTTATTTGATTAACATCTCTAAGACTGATGGAGC